CAATTCGTGGTGCAGAAGGAATGGGGTTCAAATTCCAGTCCTGCACTACCACTGATTCATATCGCCCGTATGCATTAACCCTATTTATGAAGACCCCGGCCAGCCAAGCTTGGCTCTTTCTTCACAATCAAGGACATTTTCAACATTTTCAGCTTCCAAAGAATTCCTAATTAGTGCAAAGCTGATGGTTTAAGCAATGTGGATGGTTGCTGAGTGGGTATTTCTGACATAGCGTTAACAGAGCTAGAGCTTAGAAAAGCTTGCAGTTTGCTAGTACCCTGGGCTACATTTGAATTGGTTCCCAAAACTCAGAAAAGGTTTTCCTTTGCCAAATGCAACTCTCTCAAGGATCTCAAGCTGAACACACCTTTTTCTCCTCATGATACATGTAATAGATGAACAGGATGCTGTCGCGCATTCCATCGCTCCCAGTGAACTGCTCAAGAGTGACTCTAACATCCATCCATTTATGAGGCTTCCAATTCCTCCACCATTGCAAGGTTCCAGTTTTAACCCAAACCGACTGCAACGCAAACACAGATTTACAGGAGTAAGGAAACTGCATGACTCTCTCCAAAATGCTATTTTTTGTGACCACAAGAAATCTCTGCGGCAGGTTAGTCTGTATTGTATCAGTTGCTTCTGACACAGAGTACACCAGAGCGTTCAGGAAGCTGAAGACAAAATGAAAACTGACAAAACTGGATAGAAAGGCGCTGAAATAGCGTGTGTACGATAGTATTAACATTTTACCTCTGCAAGAATGCAGTAGCACACAGACACTAATTAACTCTAGTGTGCTCCTGTTATAAAACAACTTCTGTTTAGACTTTAAAGGATTCTGACATAATCTTTCTAGACTTGATTAAAACTCTGGACTCCAAGTGTTTTTAATGAAATTCGTTCCAGATGTCATTTGTCAATTAGCAATGAAGGGACCAAAAACGTGAACGAATCTGAAAAGAGCCAAGGAGTCATAACAAAGGGAACATCAAACAAAAGTGCTGCTATTTAAGTGCTGCTATTGACGTTTGCATCATTGTTTTATTTATGCAAGTTGCATTAATCCCTTAATGGTCACAGAGAGTTCACCTACTTGAGTCACTGTTTCAATTAAGAAGCCTAATCTTGTGGTGGAATAATTCATACCATGTTCCAGTGTTGCAAACGTTTCTCTGTGGATTTGAGGTTTCAGTGTACTGAACTAATGCTGACCAATACTTCATTTGCTCCTATACAAAACTACCAGCGAATGTTTTTAGCTAAAGATTGCTGCTCCACGTTTGATAAGCTGCTAGTTTCCCAGAAGGAGCTCAGACAGTGATAATGCAGGAAGGTTGTCATAGACAGAAGTAAAGACAAGACTATAAAGCTGACAGTAAGTTCACGTCAGTACATCAGAAAACGTATTATTGATGCCCAGTATCAACCGATGTAAATGTTTAGTAGTCAAGAGATAAGCGTCCTCACTGCTTACCTGCTCAACAGCCTGTTCGTAGTGCCTAAAATTCTCCAGTTCCCTCTTTGTCCTTTCACTGAGCTGCTGAAAAATCTGCTTGCGCCATGCTGCTGTCTGTGCTGGAGTGATAGACAGAGAGAGAGACTGCACAGAGGATGACAAACCTAGAACAGAGCCAAACCCAATAAACTCCAGTGAGCTTTGAATACAGTTCTGTGAAAGGTAAAACATGATGTTGCTTTGAACACTGGACTGAATCAACCCAGTCTAAGATAATTTTTCTTATTATTATACTTTGGAATTAATGTATTACAGACAAACTTTGTAAATGATGCATAGAAATGGGATCACTAGATGATTATATAGAATCTTTCAAAGCCACAACCTTGTAAAAATGGGAGTTTTGTCACTGAACTGCAAGATAGTTAGGTAACACAATGCATTAAGATTTACACTGTTATTAAATACTGGGATGCCACAATTCATGGCTTATTTTGAAAATATGGTTATATTCCACTGACTTTCAAGAATTTAAATTCTAATGCCATCCAGTTATCAGCTGGGCTTACATTCACAATGCCTCTTGAGTAATTTCTGTATCTTACCCTGGTCTTAGTAGGAACGATAGGAGCAGGGCAGTTATTTGTGGCATCTGCATCTCTCAGGGGAGCCCTTTTCACTGCTTTCAGTTACTACTCAGTGATATTACGGATTTTGCCTGAAGTTGCAGTTTCAGTGCAATTAGAAATGAGATGCAGATCCAGCACAGATTTTTCAAAATTCTTACAGAAACTCAGAGAAAATATCACCTTTACATTTACATATCTCAATTCCAAAGTGCTGTACAGCTAAATATATGCAGCACTATCCTCAGACATAAGAGTATGTTAACAAACTGCAATAAGACTAAATGGGATATCGGAAGTTTTTTGCCATGGTTTTGTTAAAAAAACCCCAAACCCCAAAAACCCCAGCACTTTTCTTAGGAATTAGGGTCTGTTGTGGTGACTTCATTGTACCTGATGCAACAGTGAACCACTTCAATGGGCTGTGCAAATCCACAAGACAGCCTCCCCCAGACACCCAGGCCCACAGTGGGTGCTCATCGGCTCCGTACTGTTCTTCAGCTCCCACTGAGAACATGCCGAGGGAAGACAGGCTGGACGTTTCTGCAAAGGTGCTGACGGAGAGGACTGGATGCTTTTGGGCCTCCTTCAAGTCAATGTTTGTCCACTGCAGTTCTGCAGAAGGATTTGGGTTTGTAGAAGATCGATGCATTTCAAGATTAGCTTTCTCATTATTAGTCGACGCAACAGTGGCTTCTCCTTGATCAGAGTCCAGAGGATCCACAGCAAAATTTGCACGCATTTCTGCTGTCTGGTTGCCTGTGCCATTACTGCTGCTGCTGGCTGCAGCTCCCATTGGAGGAGTATTGGCAAGGTTCATGGGTACACTTGGAAGCTCTGTATCAGAGGAAGTATCTGCATCACCCTGAATGATCGTGTTCGTTTGGTTCTGAATGTCATCAGTAAAGAAACAGCCAGCACTGAAGGACAAATACATAATTAATTAACTATCATTCACAGCATTATAAATTAGCACAGGCCTGAGACCACAGACATAACAGAGATCAACCTAGTGTTTCAGCTTCAGGAGAGAAACAGCAGACTTCTTTTCTAAATGTCAAACTCTTATCATAAAAGGAAGAGTCTTAACACAAATCCGGCAGACAAGTCTAGTAAATCTGAAACATAGGAAGATACTTCATTGACCTTTTCAAACAATTGGTGGTGTTGGCTGCCTACAACTCTCAGGAAAATACTGAAACAACATCACATTTTCTGGATATGAAATAATGAATAGGATTTTTAGCTAGAGAGGGCTTCTACTCAGAGCACACTGACTCAAATAAGTAGCTTCTGCAGCACTCCCAGCTTCACTGGCACGGCTTGCACAGCCAAGAGGCCAGCAGTCAGCACGGAGGTACTCAATCTCTCTAGGAAAGGAAACATAGAGTGACACTCAGGAGAAGGATAATTCCTAAGTAGAGTTGTCACTCCTTCATGATATTTCACAGGTAACTTTTTCTCTTATTAGAGACTAGTTGCAGATAGTGATAGTAAAGCCCAGAGAAACACACTTTACTGCAAGCATGCAGTGAATTCCAAAATGGCAGCTTCAGTTTCTACTCGGAGTGCAACAACTGCTACTTACTGTTAATTTTAATGTCAAAAAACACAAATGCTTTTTAGCATACATACTGATTAGAGATGCCTTCTCCTCTCCTCCCTGTCTGTACCGTTTGAATGTAAAGAAATATCTCCTAGCACTGAACCTCCTGGCGTACAAAGTTTCGAGCAGATATTTTACTAAGTACCTGAGCAGACTTGTTGAGCTCCCAGTCTGAGATCTGTCACTCTCTCGGCCAGACACAATTGCCTTCCATGTCTTCCCACTGAGCTCACTTGGTGTGACACCTTGACGAAAATAAATTGCTCTGTCATCACAGCCGATTCCCCAGACCTACAGAAGGAAAGGGCTTGGTGAAGGAAAAGGCATGGGATGCAGGTAGATACAAGATAGAAAAAAGGTACAGTGGTGGAAAGTACAGCACAAAAATCTGCTGGACACAGCATTTTCCTTTTGCATTCTTCCTTAATGATGATACTGTAGATGCAGTACAAAATTCTGTACCATCAGAGAAAACGGGTTGCACCTGAATGTGCCATACAAAAGACATGCTGACTGTTCATCTTCTGGTGAAGAATTCAGCCATGCATTCTTTCTTAGCAGTTCACGCACATAGACCTCTTGTTCAGCTGCCCATGCTGGCACTGCTGACAGTCCTCACCATGTGTGAATACTGCTTGTACAAAGCGGAACATAAATATCCTCGTAATTGGTATACAGCTGTCTTACCTGGTTATTTAAGCCTACAGTTACCATCATCATTTCTCCAACCATTTCAATCCAGCTTGTTCCACAAGGATTATGTGAGTTCACTCCTCTTCTAAACCACACCTACAACAGCAACAGCAAAGTCTAAATTTTGCTCCTTCTGCATTAGCAAGCAGACAGCTGGAATTTAGTTTCTTTAGTGGATTAGTCTTAATCTCTAGTACTGACTTGCTGCATTGCCTTAAGTCTCTTACTTCCTTGATTCTTTTTCTTTATCAGGTAAAGATAAAATAATTCTCTAACCCAGACTGTGTCCTTGTGACCAGCTACAGCCAGAACAGCCCAAAAGGAGACTTCTTGTTATGACTTTCTGTGACAGAGTTAGTTTCTCTGCCATTAGAAAAATACTTTTGATTACATGTCAACTCTAGGCTATTTTTGGTCACTCTGAATGGGCTTCTAAACAGTGTTCTTGTGTTCAAACCCTAGAAGCAGGGCTGACAGAGGGAACTGTCAGAGGGATCTTTACAGGGGTACAGCTCTTTAAATTGTCTCCCCTTAGATTAGTTTTTACCAATCTGAAAGCATCTGTGGGCGAAGTACCTGGAAAAATTTCCATCTGTCTTTAGCATATAGTAATATAATGGCAAGCAGCTACTTTGGAACTTGTTGATTGAACACGTAACAGGCAGTGTACTTCATTATCCTGTGGCAGGTCTGCAGAAAAACATGCTAGCTTATCTACATTTATTGTAGTGGTTTTATCTGGCAGATGGAACAGACTGGACAGTCTGTTACCATATCTCTGCGGACATCATTAAACCAGAGTAACTCAATTACTTAAAACTACTATACATGCACAGAATTCATCTATGGTTTTGAATTCAATATGAAGGGATTTGATTGCAACCAGCACAAGAGCACTCTAGTACATTCTTCAAGACTTTCAAGACTCCCTGCGAGGAGCTGGGAGTTGGATTCGACTTATGGGTCCCTTCCAACTTGAGATATTCTATGATTCTAAGTTAAAACCCCAGTAAGAAAGTAATTACACATACATGTAACAGGTACGTCACTTAATAAATACAAAAAAACATTAAAAGGCTGATGAAGGGGGAACAGTTACAGTAGGAAGATAAGAAAATAGGATCATATAGAAAAGCATAGATGAAAATATTCCCCATGCTGCTTTTGATGTAACCTTCAGACCATGTTGAAACAAGATTGAGCAGCTAGGAGCCCCTCCAATTTTGATGCTTAATATCCCTTAGAAGTAGGCCCCTTATTACATCCCCACAAACATTCCCACCCACCTGCCCCATCTGTCTGACTTGGGGTTAGAAAACTCCTTCAAAGAGAAGAGCAGAAAGTCTTCCTTAAATTAAATGCAACTATGTCTATCACAAACCATGAGGCATTCCCATAACAGCAAGGGGAACTAGAATTCCCCAAACCATGGGCATAGTGAGTCCAAATCACCAATGTTTCCTATGAAAGTTATATGCCTGTTTGAGAAAAGCAAATAGAAAAAGAGAAGAAAAAAGCAACCAGTGAATGACACCTCTTACTTTTCTATCCTTTGTAACACACCACACCACATCAACACCCACGGAGACATGCATAATCCCATTTTCAGAGCTTGGAGACTCCACAATACTCCAGGAAATTCCTGGAAGAAACAAAACCCACAAGGCATTGTAGGTTAGTTTCTTATTCAACAGTGTACAAATCAAAGGGCTTTTCAGCTAAATTTAGCAAACTTTACCTTGAGGGTTATTCCTATCAATTCCTTCTCTTACAATAGCTTGCCCTTCCCAAAGAGTTGCCCAAAGGAGGTCATATGGTCCACAGCTGATCTGCACAACTTCACCGGGAGTGGTGATTAAGGACCACATGGAACCTTCTGGGTTGTGAAGGCAGACGTTTTCTCTGTACCATACCTAGACAAGTTTAAAAAAACCAAAACAAATAAAGCTTAGAAAAATATCACCACAACAGTGAAACCATTGAGACAAGCATGAAGACAAACTGTAAAGAACAGTCCTCCTTTAACAACAGGCTTTTTTTTATGCAGTGTATCCACTCTGACCTTTAAAGCTATTTTTTTCATGTTGGTTATGCAGTTGAAGACTATTTCCTTATGTACTAAGGGAGGAGGCTTTTCTACAGACTAGCTTTTATCACGGAAGCAAATCTGGATTGGGTACAGTAACCTATTGCTGCAAGTTCTGTGCATATTTCAGCACTTAAAAAACACTTCAGTGCATTTCAGGGCACGTTCTATAAACCGAGAATGAACAAATACGTAACACAAAAATGTTACTGTTAGATGACAGCCTGACCTCACTTTCACTGAGCAGAGCTTGCCACAATATGAGTAAAAAATTCCATCCTCTGTGCAGCCTTCAATGACATCCAGTCCATTTGCTAGTCTTGGTCCTACTGTCTGTGCACTTTTCTATAGATTACAGTCAAAATAGGAAGGTAAAACATAGAAAGCATCCTGCAGTAGTCGTATGAGTGCTCCAAAACACGACTGCTGAGTGCTAAATCCTCATTTTTAGAAATACTTGATTTCTCTGGGGACTTTTACTTGAGAGATGAAAGCATTTTACAATGTCAGTCAAATAAGCCCATAGAGTGGGATGCTTGTTACTTATTAGTGGGAATTATGAGGCACAGGGAATTTTATTTTAAACAATTTAACCAAGATTGCTTGCCTCTCCAGGCAGTACCAAGTGTGACTGAAACCTCGGGCTATCTGTTAAAAGTCCTTCCCTGTGAGACCACAAGTTAGGAATTGTCTAGAGACAAAGGAATGTCAGATACATGCTGTAAGGAGGAAGGAAGGAAAGCAAGGATCAAATCTTTACAGCATTGAGCAAAAGGCCTTAAGGTAGGCCTCAAACCAAACCAACCAAACAAAAAGATACATAGTTTTCAATAGAAAATAAATTGAATACATTTCAGTACTGGATTCCACATTGCCAAGTCAGGAGGTTACAGAAAAACATTTTGTAAACTCTTTCTTGAAACATTCCTGACTCTCCACCACAGAGACACAGCACAATGCTTTGCAATAATCTTTATCGGGTTTTAAGGCTCCTTCTCTTTGTTACCAGTGCCATAGTCTGCATTCCGGGCATTTTTCAGGATATAAGACACTACTCAACCCAACTTTTTAAGATTCACCTGTTTATAGAGGTTTAAGGCTTCTATAAAACAGCAACCCTATGAGATATGAAGCCTGTTCATTTACAATACAAGTTGTTACATAATGCAGTCCCAAAGCAGCTTTTACATCCTCTGCCAGATGCACAAACAGTGTATTTCCTTACCAATATAAGACAATAACAAACCTGCCTTGCTTTAAAAGCATTTAACTCCTTTTCAGTAGTAATTTACATTTAGAAAACTTAGGGAACATGCACATACCTTTCCTTGTAAAGAAACTGCCCATACTGATAAACGGCCAAGAGGCTCATCGGTGACTTCCCATCCTCCAATGGAGATGTCATTGAAAGGGTCTGGCAACTGATCTGGATCATCACGTGATACGATCTGAAGCAAAGAGAAGGAAGATTGAGGAGACACTGCAAATAGATAGGTGATTTGGCTGCTGGCCTAACTTGTTTCTTGCAGATGGGTTTCTGTTTCTCTTACTGAAGTGGCTAAGCATGGAGATTCTTCCTCTCATTCAAGGCTGCTATACACAGAGAGGGGAAATGCTGCCAAAGCAGCACGAAGAAGTCTGTGTTCCATCCCCTAACTAAAGGAAATTGTTACTCACAGAACAGTACATACAGACGTTCTTTGAATTGGAAGTCTGGGACATCACAAATGACATTTTTTCTACATTCTTAGAATGGAACAACAATTATTAAAGAACAGTTATTCATACAGATGAAGGACACAGCTGGTGAATGATGCTAGACAGGTGCCACCTCAAAAGACAGCGCTTTGTCATACAACCAAAGGAAGTTAAAAAGTTAGTTTGAAATTTGCAAAGGAGCTGAGCATCTGTCTCCAACTGCATTACCATGAGATTTGGCACCTTATTACCACAGGTTTCTATGAAAAATCCCAGCCTTCCATTTATGCTTGAAAGAATTACAAGTTGGAAGTAAAGGAATCCAGGTTCAGCCTACAGAGCAGTGATAAGAAATTAATTTCCCTGCACTTACAATTGATTATTTCAGAAAAAAAAAAAAGTTTATTTAATATTTAAAAGATATCCAGAACCTTTGCCCAAACGTCCCGTGATTTGTATCTCCTGTATCTGATCCACCTCCTGCGTCTGACACAAGAATTCCATTTCTTATCCTTTGTGTAGGTGCTGGGGAAATCTATGGCGTAAGTCCAGCCCTGCAAACAGAGGTTTTCTTTTATGAAAATCAGGACCAAGGGAAAGCTTGAAATCATAACTCGGAGCATTCTGCACAAGAGTTACTCCTACAAATACCGTACAAGTTACTGTGCATGTCTCAACAGCCCTGATTAACAGATCAGCTAATTCCATGAATGATTTATGAATCATGTCCAAATTCCTCTGCACGATATACACAGAACAAACAAGACGCAGTAAAGCATTTTACTTTCTTCATAGTAAAGATCTTAAATAACAGTGGCATCCAGTTGCCAGCATTTTGTGGCCTGATCAAAAGAAAAAGGCTTCTATAGAAGCTCTATAGACTTCAAAAGCCTTCAAACAAGATCCTTCCTTGTGTTGCGCTATAGTTGAGGTATTTCCCAGAAAGAAGTAGCTATCGGAAGTTAAGCACCTTTTATTTTTACAGACCTTTTACACTTCTATAAAAGTGCCTTTTATTTTACAGACTAAGGATTCCCAGAATAGATCTCTTTTTGGTATTGTTCACCTACCCCTTTCTCTGTTGGTTCCCCTCCAATATTTTCATCCACATACCAGTCAGACTCCCACTCCCAGTGTGGTGAAGGTAGTATGAAACTATCAAGCTGCTGATGTTTTAGCCCGCTCACATCACTCCACTGCCAGCGGTCACTGGGCAGTAATTTCTCACAAAAGCCACCAACTGGATTCCAACGCTGCCAGAAATAATAAATAAAATATTTTATTTGAGATTGCATTGTCTCATTGGACATCTACAGGGAGTCATAAATGAAACATTTATTTTCTGCAATAGAAGAATAGTAAATTCCTGGGGTGAATGAGAAAGCGTTCACACTCTAAGCCCCTACCTAACATAGTCTTTGGAGGGAGCTTTCTTAAGTATCAAAGAAGGGCTGACTGCAGAGCTAGGCCCAACCAAGTCATGTTCAGCTACATAAATAGGAACATCTGATAATACAGTTTACTACTGACAGTGCTTTCTTCTTTAGTGATGTATGGCACCGTGATACTGCAGCATTAGGACAATGCTGTATAGATGGCTTTGGGATCTCTAATCTGCTCCCCATGAGAAAGATGATTAGTGTCTTGCCTGCACTAGAAAAATAGCATAGCTTCCATGCCAGAAACTATGTCAAGATAACTATCAGTAAATCTTCCCTACAGTTTATATTATACCAAGAGTTTGTGGTTTTTTTTTTTCCCAAATCCGGCTTTGATCAGTTACAGAACAAGTAACTTGCTAGGGTTTTCACCAATGCAGCTGCCATTTTTCTTCTTTCCCCACACTCTTACCTAATACAGAAATACTGGCAAAATTTGTCATGTAATACTGTATTACGTTTTAAAGCACGTGAAAAATAAGTGGTTCAAGATCCTTCTATAAGTTTTAAGCAAAATATTACTTCTACTAGGAATCTGGCTAAATTGTTTTGCACATTATTTGTGAACTGTTTGAGTTTAATTACGTTGTTGTTAGCTCTTGCAGAATATTTCCTGTTGTGCTTTCTAGTATTTTGTTTCCCATTTTTTCACAGCCTAGAACAAACAAAACAAAAGTTTAAAATAACAAACAAAATTTAAGGTTTTGCATTTTTAAGAGCATGTATACGTAACAAAATGCACATTCTTAAGTGGCTGGAAAGTTGTTACCAGTAATGAATAATCTATAAAATTAATTTCTTGTATTTTTACCCATGCAGATAAATTAATGTATTTTCTTGGCTTATATTTATCCCATTGCCCATTAGAAATCAGAGAAATGTGCTCAAGAAAATCCTTCAGTTTTCTCTCTCATACAACTTTTGGTTAACTTAAAACCAAAAGAGATAAATTTCCTTTAAAACACTATTTTAAAGACATTCTTTTGAAGTAAGTCACATAGGAGAGATCATCTTAACACTTTTATGCAAAAAAGCTGGAACCATTGTACTTTAATGGAGAGTTATGCCTTTATTAGACAATTCCTTGAAACTGGATAATATTAAAAATAGTATTTTCTTAAGAATAATAAATTTTTGATAATGTATCTTAGTTGCCTAGAAGTTACACTGGACATCTTCTTACAGGGGATTGTGCATTTGTCACTAAGGAAAGGAAAACATCAGGTGAAAAGGGTGAATGTTCCAGTCTGAAACAGCTTGCATAAAACAGGCTGTAGTGCACACCGGCGTTGCTTTTGGTAAGAGCAGGGAAGCACAACCTTCCCTTGAGAATTAAAACCTTAAAAGAATAATCAGCTATTTGGCACATATATACTCTTCAGAAACATCAGGGAGAAAATGAAAACAAACAAAACCAAACAATGTTCCTGGGAGAAGAACACACAGAGACAGCCGATGTACAGATTTGCCATCATTCCTTTCTGATGCATATGTGGCAGTGTGATAGCGGCCCCCACACCACTTCATACCTGATTCTCATAGGTTTCCTCCTGGTATCTAATAGGAACGTCACCCGAGAACACATAGGTGTATACTTGATGATCACAGGCTATTCCCCAGCAGCACTGTTTGACAGCAGAGACCCGTTTGAATTCCAGCTGTGTGTCCTTACAGAGCTCCCAGTACTGGCCAACAGTAGACAGAGTGTAAACCCTCCCAAAAATATCAACAGCCCACAAAAGGGAACTGGGCATGGCCATGTCTGAAAGGCAAAAAGCAGGTATTAATGAAAATCACAGTTTTAAAAACTGGATCTTGAACCTACTGCAGATCAGTTCCGCTCTGAGCCATCGTCGGTCAAATTAGAAATAGATGTAAAGAATGATCTTTTAAAAAGAGCCCATGCAAAGCTGGCAGCCAGGTCTCTGCAGACCTGTGCAGTTACACCTCTTAGATGGCTCCACAAATCCATGTGGAAGACCTTGCTACTGGCACACTACTGTCCATCCTACAAGAGTCACAACATTAACAGGACAGCTTTGGCAGGCTGGGGCCAGACATCAACACTGAACTGAGGTGAAGTAGCATGGACCATTTTATACTAGGCGGCTTCACTCTCAAGAGCTGATAACGGTGGTGGTGCTACACAGACCACCCAGGTCCACAAAGCCGTGATACCTTACGCTATCTCCTTCTCAGCCTCCTCTTGGCACATGCCTACATAGCTACACAGGTACAAAGGACAAGATGTGAAAGGGAGCTTCTCCGTAAGCACACATCTAGTTTTAATCCATGGACATATTACCTACCACTGCCAGGAAAGCTCTTTCCAGAGCATTGTGGTGACCACTCTGGGATCTGATCTTTATTTAATATACATAGGTGTGATATTTAAGTATACATAAGAGAGTGGTTTGACAGCAGAGACCTGCTTCAGTTCCGTTCCAGTTTTGTCACTTAATAATCTGCCATTTTCTGGGCACTGCAGCCCTACCCTTCATGGAGGGGTCAGCATTTTATACAGGGTATGTGTATGCCAGTCCTTTTAGAAGTCAAGACCAGCATATTTCTGTCACTTGGCCTTCTGGGTGCCATTAAACTGAACAAATGTCAGTTGTTCTGTGTGTCTGACAGCCAGAACTACTGACGAGTAGTTTGAACTTTGCCTCCAGTTCTATTAACTACGCAGCGGGTGACCAGGAGGGGAAAGGTAGAAAAGAGGACTCAGATCCAACACAATGAAAGAAAAGAGGAATCTCTTTGCTGGGAGTCAGCGTGAAACACTGCTTGTTTGTTGTCAAACAGCAACTGTGCTTTCAACACAGGTGCCTAAGGAGACTTGCCTGCCTGCTTTCTGACTGATAATAAGCGGTGGTACAGAGGGAGTAACTTGTACAGTGTGTTTCAATGGCGGAGGTGAAACTGCGGAGAATCTGGAAACTGGACTAGCTGTTTCCAAGAACAGCAGAGTACATTCATGTGGGATCCCAGGGAGCATGTTTCACAATTCTTTGATTGCTAGAGCTGCTGCTGCTAAGTACCTAAAAACGTGGATCCACCAGGTAACAGCAAGAAGAAAATTTATAGCAGCAGCGAATGAGCAAGGCCAGGGGAAGGTCACGAGCAAAATTCTCCTATTAGTTGTGGCAGCGATTCTATGATGAGTCCTCTAGTTTTTACTTTTTTTATGTGTATTATTGCTGAGAGTATGAAGGCATGCATTAGTGCCTCCGACTGCTCTTGGACCAGCCCTTTATCCTCTTTGTATCCTGCCTTTCTACGTTAGTAAAAGTAGGATAGCACAGAAAGACAAAGTATGGAAAAAATGGAATGGAACAAAGTGAAGATGAGGTGAAGATTATAGGGTGTACCACTGGGAAAATAAAGGCCATGAAAATAAGCCTTTCAGTATTAGCACTTGAAATTCTGCAAAACAGTCTTTGTAATAGAGGAAAATATGCATTTAATTTTAAGCCACTAGAATGCCAGCGAGCCTGGAGTAAAGGAAGCATTATGGATAACACAATGAGGGTATCTACCTAGCCAGATAATAAGGAAAAGTGACGCTTGGGCCTGTGAAGGGTGGACAAATACACAAGTGAAGGCCTGTATCTGGAGTGACAGTCCAGGCAAGCATCAAAGTACCCGCAACAGTTCAGAAACAGGTAGTGAAAGTTCCAAAGATCAAAGTCAGGAAAAATATAGAATGGGACAGAATGAAGCCAATCCAGGCAGATACAACTGGCTTAAAATACTCAAAACAGCCAAGATAAGCGAGAGTTTCTGCATATTCTTTCTTCTGAACTTTTGAGACAGAGTGTTTGGAGACTCACTGGGAAAATGCCAAATGCATTTGGGATTATGAACTACTTCTAAGAATTCAGCTCAGGCCCCTTCGCACTGGCTGTGCTGCAGAAGATGAAGACGAACGTTGCTCGATTCTGAAGGATGCTCAGCGCTCGTGGCTCATGTGCACGCCAGCCAATGCAGAAGGTGCCTCGCATTCTCGGGGGACTGGGAAAGATCAGCCCCACACCTGCCTAATTCCTCCCCCTCCCTCAGCTCAGCCAGGTGATTTCTGATAGAACTATTAACTACTTACATGAGGATGATACGTTGTTAATTAAAACTTCAGGCTGCCTGGCATAACACTGGTCGCTACAGAACTCAAAATAACCACCCCAACTCCTTCTATATTATGAAAGCAGCGGCGTTCCCCGGTGCTGGCGGGGGTCACCCACCGCGGGAC